AGGAGTGGGAAAACAAGTGGTTTTACCCCAAGCCTGGAGATCCTCAGACTTTAGGGGACCATAGGGATCTTCCTTCCTAATTCCTACCTGTTTGCTACCTCCATTCCCATCTTGTGCCAAGTTCAAAAATACGTACAAGCCATGGAGAACAGCAGCTGTTATAAATCTGTGTGCCAGGCCCCAGTGTGGTCTTGCTTCCCAGATCACCATAGCCTTGGACACAATCAAGGACCCTGGTGACAACTACATTGCACCTGACTCAAAGCCCTCAGCCGCTCATGGTGCCAGAGGCATCCAAATTCCAGGGTTTTTCCCTTCTTCTCCAAGGTGAGCTAATCCCCTAAATCAGGGGTCAGCAAACTTTGCCTGTAAACTATAGACAGTAAATAGTTTAGGCTCGGCAGGCCACAGTCTATTCAACTCTGCTGCTGTCGTGCAAAGGGGCATAGTTATGTCCCAACAAAACTACTGATGGACACTGAGGTTTGAATTTCACATAATTTTCATGTGTCATGAAAATATATACCTTTACATTTTCCAGTCATGTGAAAGTATCAAAACAATGGTTAGCTCGTGAGCTATACAACAAATGGTGGGCTGTATTGGGCCTGCAGGTCGTATCGTTTGCCAATCCCTGACCTAAGCTTTTGCAGCTCCTTCAGCCACACTTAAGATGGTCCGAGCCTTTCACTGACCATGGCTTTTCTGGCTAATCCAGGAAGTTTGGGCTGTCCTCCAAGGAGGACAACAGCTTTAAGCTCCGTCAGGGTAGCCGTACCCTTTCAGCTTGACGCTCTTCCGAAGAAGCTTGCTTGGAGGCTGCTGGAAAGACACCCCCCTCTCTAACCATCCAGTGTCCTATGCAAAGGTGTTCTCTTTCAACTCTAAACTGGTTTCCCCAGGCACAGTAGATTTCCATTCTTTCTCTCTTCCAGCTACGTGCATCTTGGCCTTGCCAAAGCACCCCAGCCTCTACTGGCTGGGGCAAGCCTCATCACTCCTTTTTTGTTCAAATCTCAGCCCCAATGTTGCCAGAGTTCCAGAGCCAAAGTCCTTTTTATAAAGGGAGAACATATATGCAAGGAAAGCTGGGGAGAGTTCAGCCAGAGGTAAATTCCTGGAGAAGAGAGATTTTAAACTGGGCTTGGGACAGGGCGAGGGACAAGAATTGAAAAGGGGAGGAGAGGGGTGGTGTTGCTGACAGAGGCAGGAGAGGGTGAGTTGTGGGAAGGAGGCGATGAGACTGGGGAATCGGTCAGGGTGGGACATTAGTGCACGGGGTGGCCTGCTGGGCCCCGACTCAGAGTAGCTCGAGGTAACTGGACATAATGGTGTGGGAGGAGAACTCAAGGGCCTTAGCTTCCAGCCCTCAGCTCTAACCTCAGTCCTACACTCTATACCTTCATCCATTCACTCGACAAACATTCAGTAATTCCCTCAAGATGGGGGCATGTTTGGCTTGGGGGAAAAGATTAGGGGCAGTTAAGGGAAAGAAGAGGAAAGGGAAAGGAACATTGAATCATATAAGTAAGTGTCCTGCCCTCCAGAAGTGTAGAGTTGGAGAGAGAACACACGCAACGACAGCCCAACGGAGAGAGTGCTAAATGCCTCATGGGAATGTGGTCAAGGAGTTCAGGCAAGGGAGAGGTGACGGATGGGGGGAGGTGGGGACATCGGCAGGAGTTGTGTGGAAGAAAAGAATCTGGGCTAGGACTCCAAGGATAGGGGACATCAGGACCTGTGTAACGTGGGGAAGAGCTGTCCAGGGTGAAGTGACACTAAGAAAAAGTGAAAGTATGGGCTATGGCATGGTATGCAGACAAGAGCAAGGAACTCAGTTTGGTGCGTTTTGTTTTTTTTTCAATAGGGGAGTGATTGGCATTATTTTGGGGGCAATGTTTCGTTGTATGAATGTCCCATACATAGCAGGTCTTGTGGCATCCCTGCCACCTCCCCTCCTCCTCACCTAACGCCAGTAGCCACTGCCCCTTTCCATCTGTACTTTAAAACAGCACGCCCCATCCCGTGGGAACCACTAGGTAGGTTTGTGGACGCAAGCAGTAAAATATAAAGTTGGACTAGAAAAGTTAACAGCCAGACAGTGGAGGGCCTCCAATGCCAGGCCAAGACACTTGCACTTTATTAAGCAAGCAAGGAGTGGCCACTGAAGGTTTTTCAGGAGGGAGGGGGTAAGAGCTGCTTTAGAAAAATGACGTTTGGAGCAGTGTGCAGGATGCACGAAGGCCTAGGAAAGGCAGGGAAATCACTAACAGCCTCCTGCGACCTCTCACCCAGGCTATTTTCAATCAGGGTGGGCTGCTTTACCCACAATTACTGGCAGAGGGGAAAGGTCGAGGAAGGGCCTAACTGCCCATCTCCCGGATGATTGCTGGAATGCCCTACTAGAATAGCATTTGATAAGTCAGGATGTGACTAATACTCCATTGTCTCTTTCAAATCAACCCACCTGGGGATGACCGCAACTCCACTCCTCCCCCACTGGTCCACACTGGCAGGATTTGTGTGAGATCAGAAGGAAGGAAAAGGGCAAGCCTTTGTGGGTTTTTCTCTCCCCTTCCTGCCCAGGGTCCACTGTCTTCTTAGCAAGCGACCCCTCGGAGCCTGAACAAGGGAACTATTCAGCCTGACCAAAGGAGAGAGGAAGACCCTCCCTGCTCTGCCCATTCCCTGGCCAGGACAGGACATGGCTTTTGATCCGCAGCCCAGAGAATCCCAAGCTGATAAAGGCCCATTGTGGTAGCTTCTGGAGAAACCCAGAGGCCATCAGGAGACAGTTAATGGCCCTTGAAGGTTTGTGAAAAGGATGACTACTTGGCGGAACTCAAGGCAGAAAGAGGCCTCCAGGCTGCCACTGGCACCACCCATGGCAGGGAGGCTAACGGCAAAACCAGCAGGAGCCTGGCCTGCCTGCACCAAAGGGCTGACTTGAGGCAGACGGAACCCAGAAACTGCGGAGGGCTCCCTCCCCTGCAGACACCTGGAGCATGAAACCCCATCTCCCACCAAATGCAAGACACAACTGCTTGTTTAAAATGGGCTTGGAAGAGGAGCCTCCTTCCTCAACCCCCCAGAAAGGTGTCCAAAGCCATCAACGGCAGGAAATGACAGAGTGGAAGCTGGTCTGGAACCTATTTAGGAATTACACTCTTTCTGCTCATCTTTAATGTGTTTTCTGAGTCAGAGACCACATCATTGGCAGGTCTTGCTATTCTTACAGCAGAAAACGAAGTAGGAAGAGACATCCTGGTAAACGATGCCAGGGAGGTGGGCTAGATGGGAGGCTGGTGGGAGCATCCTGCAGAATGAAGCTTGGTGGGAGGTCTGAGGTTTAGCCGAGCGTCAGGAGCCCAGTGTACCCTTGTCCGTGTGGGGACGCGGAGGGGCTAGATCCCTGCTGAGCGGCCCTGGGAGGAGACCGGGGTGTAGGGATGGGAGAGCTCAGTTCCCAGGCCCACCCTAAATCTGTGCCTCGGTCCCTGACTTTCTCAGCTGACAGCTGGCCCTATCACTCGGGAGAGGAGCTACAGAATCCAGGTCAGAGACTGCCGGCCTTGGCCAGGTGCTGGGCCTGGGGATTAAACCAAGAGCAGAGGTTAAAGCACGGTCAATGTGAGCATGCCGTCGTTTCCGTTTTGTCCCTGTAAGAATTGATTTGAGGTGGGTGATTGGGATGGCTCATATCTCAGTCGTAGGTCTGCTTTCCCTCACCACCATCCCGAATGCATAAACTTGGCCCTCTCAAATGTCAAGTCATTTCCACATCAAAGCAAAGCAGTAGTAGTAATATAAATCCACAGCAGAGCCCCTGAAGCCATCTAATGTATATAAAACTCAAACTAGAGCACACTGAGGGCTATCGCATTCATGTTTGGTCAATCGCTTCCCTCTTATCAGGGGAAAATGTTGCGGGCAGCTGGTGGGCAAGCCTACAACTCCCTGTTAGTGTCACCTACCCTCCACTGACCTGAGCCCATCTCCTGACAAATCTTGCCTGATTCACTTCCGGTTGGGGATGGATCTGGAACACAGCACAGTGTTTTCTGAAACGCATGCATTTTCTGCCTTGCTGGAGATTCTGTCCCAGCTGGCGACATAAAACATGTGCACACAAAAACTGCTAGAATGCTCTGTTCTGAGCCCAGGGCTCCCACAAACAGACACAATCCCGAAAGACCGAGCTGGAAGGTCTGGGTGTCATTTATTGACAGCAGTTTACACACATTTGTTTTCTTCCCATGGTCGTTTCCTTCAAAGCACAGGCACAGAGCCCTTTAGAAGGGCAGTCTTGGAACTAGGGAGCCAGGAACGCAGGATGCACTCGTCCTTGGCAGGCATGTTTAGTCCCGGCAGGATGCAATCCTTCAAGTTGGGAGTTCCGCTGGGTATTTGAGACACACCAATGCGGGGGGGTGGAGAGGAAGTCTTCCATAGGACTCATCTTGGTCCAGGCCTGCTCTCTCACTATCCAAGCCCATCCCAGTTTAGGACCCTTGGGGGGTAGCAAATCAGGCCCACCCACCTTCACAGGGGCCGATTCTTCAATCCATGCCCTGTTTGTACACACCTGCTTCACCGGCCCCACAGTTAAAGAGAATCAGACTTATGATAAGGGACAGACTACTTGCTCTCTGACCCCCCCACCCCCACCCCGGCACCTCTCTTCAGCTGGGTCTGTGCAGGAACTGCTGCAAAAAAATGGAGGCCTGTGTTTTCGGTTCAGCTGTGCCATCTTCTTCAGATCTTGAATAAATGATGGGTGGAGGCTACAAGTTTATTCAGGCTGACAACTGTGCTCCCCAGCCCATCACACACACATGGCCCTGCCTTTCTTCTGTCAATTGTCAGTGTCTAGGCCTAAGCTCCAGCAGGCCCTGAAGATAAGAGCCAAGTGGGTCTGCGTAGGCACTTGGCAATGTTTGGTAGGGATGCGGATAAAAAAGTGGGTGGAAATTAGAATGAAAGAGTTTCATCTGATAGAGTAATTAGAGATCTGAAGTGATTTTACTTTTATTTCCTTCACTTTAAGCCAATCATGAAATTTCACAGTGATTCTGGGGTGGGGGTGGAAGGAAGGTGGTGTTAAGAATCCTCGGGCTTTGGCCCAGATGGCCCAGGAGGTGCAGGCAGGGCAGGCCTCACTGGGGCAGCTGGAGGAGCACCGACTGCCCGGACGGCAGGTAGGTGATGTTCCGAGAGCGAGCAAGCTGGTA